TAAAATGATATTGTATATTATGGAATATGGTATCCAATCAAAGCCACCATACAATGGGAGGCTTTAAGAATGAACCAAAGAGTACAAAACTGGAAGAGGTCCGACTGCCGGGGATTCTTTGGAACGCAATCCTATTTCAAAAAGTACTACCCAAAATGGGCGTGGCCTTTAAAAGAACGTAAAGTGTGTTCATATCGAACGCGCGCTGCGCGTCTATAGAACGTATACTGGAATTCGAAACGCGTTCGATACGAACGCCTTTTACGCTCTTATAAAGGACACGCCCTTTGTGGGAGTACTTTTTAACGTTCCATCAAATGTTCCATTGCCTGTATACAAAATAAGGGCAGTCGGACCTCTTGCAGTTTTATACTCTTTGAATGAACCATGCCATTGATGCAATTTGCATATCAAAACAAAAAAATCAATGGAACTGTAAAGTAGGCCTAGTGAAGGAAGGGTAATTAAAGCTGAAAGCCAGTGAACTACGTTGTGGTCTTTTATACAGGTACAGCGGTTGGTCATCAAATTTATTTGATTCTGACAAACAGAATTTCTCCGGCTGAAAACAGGTAAGTGTCTGACAAACAGGCTACGTTTCGTATCGCGTTTGATAATCATGTACATAAATCAAATTAGCTGCAGACGTTTTATTTCTTTACAGGGGTGGCGCCAGGATTTGCCTGACGGGGGGAGGGGGCGAGGTCCCCGACGCCCCGACAAGGGGTCAGATTTCCCAGACGAAACCAAAGTGGGCGTGGTCGAGCTTCGTGTAAAAGGTTTTGAAAGCGGTCCTGGGGGCGAAGCCCCTGAAAATGTTGACAATCTAGGTGTTTCAAAGGCTTATTTAATCGATTTTAGAGTCTACTAATATGTAGAAAATACATATAACTTTTTTTCTCCCCGACGAATTGTGCTTTTTCTCCCCGACGGGTGGGGGACCCTGGCCCCCCGCTGGCGCCACCCCTGTTTCTTTATCAAATAAACCATAGAGAATTACAGTAATCGAGACGTGACAGTATCAAACAGCGAACGGCATTATGGCAAACAGATTCATCTATGTAATTTCTGATTTGGAAATATTTCTGAGATACCATTGCAATCATCGGTGCCATGTGATTATTATCATTTTATGATTTGTTCATATACAGTATTAATACAGCTTCTGAAAACAAATTATTTAAAAGAGCGCGAATGGACATTAATTATCATCATAGTCATCGTCGTCATCATCGTTATCATCATCAATGTTATCATCATTATCATTAGGTCATGATTTAGAATGTTAGTATATCCCAAACGCCACATAGTTCCGCAATGAGTACATTAATGCATCATTATCATCGCCAACGTCATCACCATCATCATTCATCATAATAACCATAACCATCAAATCATCATAATATCCTCCACCACCACCACCACCACCACCTCGTTTTCATTGTCTGCATCAACATCAACTTCGCAGTAGCGGCCACAAGTAAGCTTGTGAGTTTAGATACCTGGAACAGACACAGTGGCGAATTCAAGGGGAGCCCTGCTTCGCCAGGCATCCCTGGTCGACGGCCTGGAATAAAAACATACCTTGTATGGTTCACGTGGATAGATTTTATGGCTTGTATGGTCCAAAATGTGCTTTTAAACCACACAATATTTTTGATTGGCAATCAAAATAAGGTTATTTGTACAGGCAAATTATTATTTTTTAAAATTTTTTATCCGACGACCTAGTCGTGCGTCTGGCGACAGGAGAACAAGCCCTGGCTGACGGGGGTGGGGACAATTCCCCCTGCCCCTATTC